CCTCTCACTGCCTGGTGGTGGTGGTGGTAGCAGCATGCCTAATAAGTGCTTACTACTGTTTGCAGCATGTTATCTGCATGTTCTCACTGAATATGGAAGTTAATCACACGTAGGGTGCTCAGAACAGTGCCGTGAACGTGTGAGTGCTGAACACGTTAGCTGTTGTTGTTATTTAGTTATCACAATAAACTTGTGAAAGAATATACAGAAGTTCACAGGTTAAGTGACCTACCCAAATTCATACCCCTAATAATTGGTAAGCCTAGTATTGGAACCTGACCCCAAAACTCACCCTGAAGATTTGAGGAGTGACTGGACCAGAGACCTCCCCACCTACGATGCAGCTCTAAACTGTGCCTCTTGTTCATCTGTGATCCGTCTGTAAAGGATCTTCTTGATTTTGAAATCTCTAAATGACAGGGACTTTTGGCCCCTTTGCCAATCTCTGTCCTCCTGGAGCCCATTCAGAATGAACTAAATGTCCCACCTCTGTCCACTCAGGACCTGTCCAGCCAACCAGGAGGAAAGCGACTCCTCCTCCTTCTATCTTTTCAAACTGTGCACAATGGAAGGAAGGAAGTGGTTCCAGGGTCTGCTGGTCCACCCCAGGCTTGCATTGACTCCTCAAGGGTTAAGTCATACTCTCCAGGGCACACTCCCCCAATCACCCAGAAGGGGCATCAGCTTCGTGTCTGATTCAATGGGTCAAGTCATTTTGGCCAAGTCATTTTACCTCTTTCTGCTGTGGACCCTCAGCAGCAATCTTTACCTCTTGAAGACCATTCCCTCCTCAGTCATGTAGGGCATCTTCAAGGAGAGGCAAGTGGAATAGAGGCAAGGGCAGGGATTTGGTGTCAGACAGGTTGGGATTGACCCTGTTGCTACCTCTGCTGAGTAACAATAGGCACTAACTCAATCCATCTGGACCTCAGTCTCATAATTTGCAAAACCAAGATCCTGACACCTATTTTTCAGGCAGTCATGAAGATTAAGATGATGCATACCAAGGTGTCTGGCACAGAGTAGGTAGGTGTTTAATAAATGGAAGCTATTATTATTACCCGGACTGTGTGTCACCAGACCACATTTGATGCCTGAACCCAATTTTACATTTTAAAAAAACATGCCTTGTGAAGACAGAAAAGCAACTTAGATTCATTCAGCTAATCTTTTTTGAAGACATCATTCATAAATTATCCATTAAAAGAAAAGAACTGAAAACAATTTACTTAAAAAAAAAAAACAGAGTTTTTTGGTTGGGAAAAACATTATCATGTAAAGGTGAATAAGAAATACATGGGAGATGTTTGCAACCGTAGCTTATCATTCTGTTTAAGAAAAAAGTCTCAGAAGGCCTCCTGTTTTGGGGAGTTAAGAGTAGAGATGTGATTGATAGGTCAGACTGGGATCTGGGTATTAGAAACTGGACCCAGTTCCTGGAAGAAGGCAAGGTGGGAGGGCAGAGCTGAGTAGCCAGCACCAACTGGTGAGGGGTGGTCAGCCCAAAATGTAAAGAGAGTGGGGGTTGTGTTAACCTCCCCATGTTGGGGTCCAGCTCAAGGAGACGAGATGCCCTGCTGATAGGTAGCTAGATAGACCACAGGGTCCAAAATCCCCAGAAAGGGAATGGGCAACATCTTTCAACACCCCAATCTCTGAACTGAGGTTTGGAGACTGGTTTCTGGGTGTGTGTGCAGGGAGCAGGCACAGAAGAAAGAGTTGCTAAGGAGGCAGGGTTTGAGGAAGAAGATGAGAATTTAAGCCATCTAGACCTGGACTGACAGTAGTTACTTTCTAGGGGTACACCTCTGAGCATGTTGCTTTCTAAAGTCTCTCCTGTGTCTCTTATAAAGGAGATGAGCCCATGAGTCACAGCCCTGGACCTAGACATCTACCAGGGTGCTTGAGTCTCATGACTACTGATGACAATGGTTAATCTAGTCGCTTCTCACCAGCTCTTCTGCTTGCACCCTGGCTCTTGCCACCCTCTTGCCACCATACATAGCTTATGTAATGGTCTCTACCTGCTTCCTCCCAGGATCTGGGTCCAGTTTCTGACACCTGCTTTCACGATTTCCCCCTACAAATGATTCTTTACTTGGCAGCTAATGTGACCCATTGAAACATATCAGATCATGTCACTGCTCTATCCCATACCCTCCAATGGTTTCCCATTTCATCATGTGCAAGCCAGAATCCTCACAATGCCTAGGTCCTATATGATCCCACCTGCCAGTGACCTTGGTTACTATTGCCTTTCCCTTTTCTCACTCTGCTCCAGGCACTCTGACTTCCAGACTGTTCCTTGAACACACTAGGTCTTGGCGCTTCTGCCCTTGCTGCTCCTCCACCTGGAACACAATTTGTCTGTCTTGCTTACTTACCTCCTTTAGGTCTTTGCTGAAAAGTCATTTCAGTGTGTCCTTCCAGGACCTCCCTATTTCAAATTTCAGACCTATCCTGGCATTATTAGTCTTTCATGTTGTATTGTTCTCCATTGCACTTTCCATAAACTAACTTTTTATTTCTACTTATTGTCTTTTTCTCCCACTCAGATGTGAGTTTTAAGAGAGCAGTGATTTTCATATTTTTTTCATCCTCAGCTCCTAGGACACTGCCCAGCATGTAGTAGGCCCTATAAAACATTGGTTGGAGGAATGATTATGATAAAGAAGCTGGACATGAACTTGAGGCTGGTGAATGACACAGGAACTCAGATCCAGGACGCATGCCAGGAACCCAGTTACCCAAACTGGAACACAAGGCCAGAGAGTTCAGAGAGCCAGACAGAGAGCCAGAGGGATGCCCCGGCATCAGAAGTGGGGCGTGAGCTCAGCAGCTGGCCCGGAGCCAGGCTGATGCTGAGTGAGCCTGGTGTTCCTTGGGTCAGGGCTGGTCCCAGGCCATGTGTCTTGAGGCTAGGTCACCCATGAGTAGAGACAGAGGGGCTGAAAGGCAGGTTGCCAGAGAGGACTTCAACCACTTAGTATTTATCAAGCAAAGTTATCCCAGCTTTCAACTTATTCCCAGATGTACATGTCAGTGGATACTCCATATTGGCACAGCTCACAAGGAAAGCACAGATGACTAAGAGAAAAGTGGGGGGCGGGGGTTGGAATGAAATGCTCATTCAGAAACCTGAGCTGAGGAATTGAGGAATGGCAGATGCCAGGGCTCATGACTAAAGGACATTCACCATGCTGAGTGAGACACCAACTGAGTGAGTGTCTGGGGATCACAGATATCCCCTGGGCTCTTTTTTGGTGGGGACCTCTGCCCATGCAAACCCTCCTGCTTGTGGAGAAGGAAGTGCTAAGTGGAGCTGGAGAGGTAGTTTCTGCAGAAGCCTAGAAAGAGGCAGCAGGGCAGGGATAACTTGGCCTGCTTTCCTCAGCACTGTCCAAGGTGCTCTCTAGGAGTTGGGCTGGAGAACCTCGCTTGTGATGCAGGGCTGCCCTGGCTCTCCCCGGCAGAGCTCCTCTGTGGACATCATCAGGGCCAAATTCTTCAGCACATGCGTGAAAGAACTGAGTTCCAGAATAACCCAGAGTCAGGGCACTGGCCCTCCTGAAGTGGAGGCTGTTCTGGATGCTGGCTCCCTCTGCCCTATGCGCACTGCTCCTTTTGGCTCTGGGTTCGGGTCCCCTTGGTAGCTCTGAGGAGTTCATCAGGCTCAAACCCTCCGTGATTCACCTGCCAAGTGAGGACAGTAAACACAGCACTCGGTTCACAGGGCTGTTGTGAGGATTACATTATAAAGCATGTTCATTTCAGTGAAGGCTAAAGTCCTAACCTTGTTACAAGGTCCGCCATATCTCCCACAAAGGTTGGTTCAGTTTCAAGATGATTTGTAATTTGATATCCTACTATGCTCCCTCTTCCCCCATTAGTCACTTCTTGGGATTTTATACTTTAATGACCACGATCCCCAGTCTTCAAGTATGGAGAGGCACACGGGGTGCAAGACCTTGGGTCAGATCACCGGGCTGCTCTCCTTAAGGTTAGCCGGTGCAGCCAGCGCCACCCAGTTGAGGGCCAAGGTAAGAGGAGCGCGAACTGGCTCTGGCCTAAGGACAGTGCTTCAGTCTAGGAGAGAATTTTAGGGCGGAGTCCTTCAGAAGTGGGGACACCGGGAGGTCAAATGCCTGGAGGGGGCGGTAGCACTCTCAAGGTGAGACCCCATTCTCATTAGGGTTTGGGAAAAGGCAGTTGCTCCATCTGGTGGAAAGAGGGGCTCACAGCCAAGGCCCTAAGGGGAGGACACCCTAACACCAAGGGGTATTCGAGCGCCCGCGGGGTCTTCAGTCTTCCCTTCGATTCCAATCAGGGACCCTGAAGCCCGCGCAGACCAGGAGGGCAGACACAGCAGCTGCCTCCAGGACGCCCGAGCGGGCGCTCGCAACCCAGACCTTCCCAGCCAGACCTGCGAGAGAATCAGTCCCAAATTGTGTGCAGGTGCTCCAGGAGGCGCTCGGGGAAGCAGTGGCGGCGCCGCTGCAGGTGCCTGCGCGAGCCCTGGATTCCCCGCGGCCGTCCTCGGGCGCTCGGATCCCTGGAGGTCCGCGGGCAGCGGCGGCCGGCGCGGCGGAGGGCCGGGGGCGCATGTCTGCGCGCGCTGGGGAGGCTGCCCTCCCCGCGGCCGCCGCAGCGCCAGCGCCAGCGCCTCCCCCTCCCCGGCGCGCACGGCCCGTCCCCGTCCCCGGAGGCGGCCCCAGCCACCTCTGAGCAGCCTCGCCTGCGCCCCCCGCGCTTCCCGCTGCTCGCCCTCCCCCGGTCGGGCTCCAGGGGCTGCCGCGGAGCAGCTCCGGGAGGGAGCGCGGCTCGGAGCGCGCACGGGGGCGGGCGGAGGCGGCCCGGTTCGGGGCGCCAGCGCCGGAGAGAGGCGCGCGCGGAGACGCCGGCCCCCCTCTCGGCGTTCGCTCACTCGCTCCCCGCCTCCCGCACTCCGCTCGCTCCCACCCCTTCCCGGCGTGATTGATCCGTCACGGGCGCCGCCGCGGCCGTTCTGAGCCGAGCAGGAGCCGGGCCGGGGCCGGGGCCGGGGCCGGGGCCGGGGCCGGGGCCGGCGCCATTGCGCGGGCGCCGCAGGGAGAGCTTGGCGCGGGGCGGCGGGCCAGGGCAGGCCATGCGGGCCGAGTGAGCCGGCGCCCGCAGCCCGCGGCGCGGCATGGCTTCCCCGCGGAGCTCCGGGCAGCTCGGGCCGCCGCCGCCGTCGCCACCACCGCCGCCCGCGCGCCTGCTGCTGCTCCTGCTGCTGCCGCTCCTGCTGCTGCTGCTGGCGCCCGGGGCCTGGGGCTGGGCGCGGGGCGCCCCCCGGCCGCCGCCCAGCAGCCCGCCGCTCTCCATCATGGGCCTCATGCCGCTCACCAAGGAGGTGGCCAAGGGCAGCATCGGGCGCGGTGTGCTTCCCGCCGTGGAGCTGGCCATCGAGCAGATCCGCAACGAGTCGCTCCTGCGCCCCTACTTCCTTGACCTGCGGCTCTACGACACCGAGGTGAGTGTCCGGCCGCCCTCGCCGTCGGGGCTGTGGGGGCGACGGGGTGGGAGTGTTGGACGGAGGGAAGCTTTGGTCTTTGGACAGAGCCCCGTGACCCGCCCATGCCCGCCGAGGGCACCGCGGACCGGCGCTGATGGCTCATCCCCGGGGTCCCGCCGGGCTTGGCTGGCACCTCTGTACCAAGATCGGCTGGGCATCTCCCTCCTCTGGGATTGTGTGTACGTATGTGTGGGGGTATGTGAGATAGAAGACTAGGGTCTCTTTTGACCAGGGAAGGAGTAGAGAAGGTGGGGACTGGACCCCCAAAGGCCTGCAGTGGTTGCCCCTGCCCAGTGTCCGCTGGTGGGCTCCGAAGTGCCTCGTGGGAGGAACAGGCGTATGTATTGGCAGAAAACTGGGCCACCCGGGGCCAAAGAGGCCACGGGCCTGTTAGAGGGCCCCCAGGAAGGCCAAGCCGCTTTGAGGTCAGGAGAGCTGCAGGACCCGAGGGGCCGGAGCGCGCAGCAAGGCTGGGCGCGTGGTGCGCGCCAGCAGCTCGGAGCTCGCACCGCGCGGGCAGGTGTGGGGCCGCTAGCTCTGCAGCGCTTTGCCTTGATGTGTCCGGCGCTGCCAGCAGCCTGGGCGGTTTCATTAGGAGACCCCCTTCCCTAGACCCCGGTTTAGTTACTCAGAGTGTGCCCGGAGCAGGTGTCTCTCTGGCTGCTCTGGGGCGTCCGACCGCGCTGCTGCCTTGGCTCGGCGGCTGCAGGGGCGGTTTCTCCGGGTGCGGACTTGCAGCTCGGACTTGCCGCCTTAGCTGGCTTGCCCGCCTGGCCTCCACCGAACCAAAGAGCCCAGCGCTTCCCATCCCAAGTTCCTGCTCATTGCCCTCGGCTTGGGTTTCGGTGCAGCCCCAGCGCGCACCTTCACCGCCAGCCCGGGAGCTGGGTGCGCGGAGGGTTTTGGAGAACCATCGCTGGCCGCGCGAGGTCGGGTTTGCGAGTTTTCCCGGACCGAGGGAGCCCCTTACGCACCGGCCGCAGCGACTGAGAAGCGGCCTGAAGGGGGCAGTGATTTCCTTTGCAGTAAGCTCGGTGGGAGCCTCTTCCACCGCGCCAAACTCGGCCGAGGCGCTGGGCTTGACTCTGGCTTCCCGGGGCTCCCGGGCGCTTCTGCTGAAGCCCAGGTGCAGACTCCTTCCGAGGGGGAGGGCCGCGCTGTCGCCTAGACGGTGCAACTCGCCTTCTGCTTCCTTCTCTCTCTGACCCCACTCCCCTCCCCCTCCCATTTTTGGTCCCCGGAGAAAGCAGAAATCTCCATTGCATCTTACTCCCCGCCTCCCCCGTCACTGATGAACCAGCCTGCTCTGCGCTGTAAATAAAAGGTGAAGAACGGGTGGCAGTTGGTGGCAGTGAGCGCAGGCTGCTGCAAGCAGAGAGGCTTCCTCTGCTCCAGGAGGATGCAAACTGGGTGACAGCTAACCTGGGTGTGGAATCACTTCTGAATGAAATTCCTATCGCCCTCATCTTTGCCTGAACCTTTTGAGTTCTCTGGAATACTCGTCAGGCACCCATAAATGGAGAGGGCAAGGCAATTATCCCGAGGCAGGTCTCTCAGCACGGTTTTTCTATTGCTTCAGTACATATCCTTCTGGAAGGCACACCGGAGAGCCAGTTCTTTGCAGACAAAATCATTTGTAGACGGGGTGGCCCTGCTTGCATCTTCACCAATATAGTCAGCTGCACGATGATTTCCTCATCTGTTTATCCCCTTTAGAAGGCTTCCCTGACAGAGATTTCATATTAGCGTCCTATGAGCTTGTGGCAGCAAAGGGATGGGTGGTTGGTTTCAGGGTGTGGGTTGAAGCTTTTACAGTTTATTTTTCAAGTGTGTTTTGATGACTTTCTGAGTAAGAGGCCCAAAGTCAAGAGGATGAGGCAGTCACAGGCTCTTCAGTTCATGGGCATAAGCAGTGGGGAGGCGGGCAGAGGGATAACTCAGCCCTCTGAGAACAGGGAGACACCTCTAGCCATTTGAAGGGGGTGCAGGACAGGAGCTTTGGGGGTGGGTTGGACCTGCATTCTAACCAGAAACTGGTTATCTCCCCTCTGGGTGACCTTGAACTCAGTATTTAAGCTTTCTAAGCCTAGATTACCGTCTGAAAAAGTGGAACTATCATATATACTCTGCAGGGTGGTGATGCCTGCTTGAGGGAGGTAACAGGCTGCAGCGGAAAATGCCTTGAGCCGCAGGCTCAGGGGCCAGCCCTCTGTCTGGCATGCCTTAAGCACTAAATAAATGTTTCTTGCCTCCCTTCCTTATTTTCATCTGGCATGGATTCAGAAGTAAGACATTGAGACTTTAGATGTGATAGAACGGTCACAACTAAAATATTAAGACTGCTTGTTTGTTTTCACAATCTCCTGAAGAGTCAGAGAAGTTATCACCAGAAAAAAAAAAGAATTCTGACTTAAAGCAAATAAATGTTATATTCTACCATGAGGTGTCATGTTTCGGACAATCCCCAGGTGACATAACGCTAAATTTTTTCAGGCCTGCCTTTAAAGTCGAGGTACTTTCTCTCTGAGCTAAAGTAAAAGAAGGATCAGTGTGTGTAATTGCAGCAAAATCCACAGGAATCTGAAGGGTGTTTGGGGCTATGTTAGAATGTGCTGTCTTTGTGGATTGTGTATATTCCCTTGCCGCTTGCTGGCTGTGTCATTTATTGTCTGCAGACACAAACACATGATGAATGTGGTGAAAGGATTTGGGTTGGCATTGTTGATATTTGTTGTCAGTCAATGGCCAGAGACTGTGGGCAGCCAGGACCTTTGTCCACAGTCTTTAGTAGTTGGAGATGTAGCAAGGATTGGGGAGATCTGATTATGGGGACAGCCTCTCTTAATGGAGGAGCCTCCTGCATTTATCCAGATTGACCCCTAGTATAATTAGAAGAGCAACAAAGCCCCATTCAGTGGCATGTGTTTGTAAAAATGAAACACCCTGTCAAAGTATCTGCTAGTCAGAACTTCTGGTTGTTCTCTGGTGTACTGCACTTCAGCAAATACTTCTTTATATATTCCAAGGAGAATTGGAGTAAATAAAAATGCATGCAAGACAACTGAAAATACAGATAAAAGAAATATCAGAGACTATCTAGACACATGGACGTTCCTGTACGAAGAACCTGGGATAAGATGGTTATTGTATTCTTGACTATTAAATTTTAGCTCTGAGCTTCCTGGCAGCCAAGGTAAAAAGGTAAACATGGCGGGTTATATTACATGTATGACTGACTCTGAGGGACAAAGTCTTTTTAAAAAAGTTTTGTAGGAGATTTAGAAATGTTTTTCATGTAATTGCTTCTCACTCCTTGGTAGTCACATTAATAAAATTAAATCATCCCCCAAAAACATTAAAAAAATAATGTTGGTTTTCTGATTTGATTAAAGTAATGTTCATTTTAGAAAAAATTGCAAATTATATGGAAACATTAAGAAAAATAATTTCACATAAGCCACCTACACAAAGATAATTACATTTAATAGCATTATTCCTTTACAGTTGCCAATGTTTACTATTTTGCATACTTGCGATCTTACTCTCTTTGTGCTCTTTTATGTTTTGTTTCGTTCAGTTAGTGTTATGTTGTAGATATGTCTTCAAACCCTATGTCTTCAAACCCTCTTGGTAAAGATGATTTTTAGCAGATGTATGAGTTTTAGTGCCATACCATAAGTATTTAATCTTTCCCCTGTTGTTAACTATGTTTTCCCCACTTTTTATTATTTTAAATCATTCCGTAATAAATTTAGGAACGGTTCGGGGAGCCAAAGGAGTCCATTACAGGTGGCTCCTCTCACGAGGTCTACCCAGATGCAGGAATCCAGCTTAGAAAGCCCAAAGGAAACCTAGTGATTGGTGTGATTGCCCCTACATTGAGGGGCTTTCCAAATATCTGTTCTTTCATTCACTGGACTTTTCACCAAATTTTCCAAGGAGATCTGAGTTCAGCCAGCAGGTGTTAATAGAGTACTTACTGCAGTTGTTAGTGCTGCAGGAGGGAGCAAAATCCAGTCCTGGGCTCCAGAGAGGCAGCTGGTGCAGAGGGGAGAACAAGGCAGGCACATGGTCATCATATCCAGTGCAAGGTAAAAACTAATGGTGGCCATGGCTGCATGAGTCTGTGAATATATTCCCTTAAAAAAAAAAAAGAGAATATAATGGTAGGTGAATTATATGTCAATACAGCTCTTATTAGAAATTAAAAGAGAGCAAATAAACTTTTTTAGGACCAGCCTCACTTCTTTGTGGTTGTAGCGCTACTGTCCAGCATGACGCCTGGCCCTTAGTAGCTGTACTGCTTAGGACTCTTATTGTGAGTGAGAAAAACCCCACTTTATGGGTTTTTTACAACTTAAGAAAAGCTGGTGTATGCTGTATTCAGGCATGGCTGAATCCAGGGACTCATGATATCTTTGAGAGCATCTCCTTCCGTGTCTCTCATCCCTAATTCCCTGCATGCTTGGCTTTGCTCTCTGGCAGGCTTCCCCTCGTTGGTGGCACAGATCACCCCCAGCAGCTGCAGGTTTACACACTCCCAATTTAAAAACCAGTGCAAAGAGTGTTTCAGCAAAAATCCCAATGTCAGCTCTCACTGAGTCAGATTCCATCCTGGAACCAATCACATGACACTGCTATGCCTGGGGCATCTGCCAGTCTCTCACGGCGGGAGCAGGAGGAGGTCAGGTCAACCCCACCAGCCACATGGAGTGGAGAAGTGTATCCTCAAAGGACATCACAGGCTATTAAGGGGGCGCCATAGTAGACGGTTCTGATCACAGATATCCACAAAGGCGGGTACTGGGAAAATGCTAAATTCGAGGAAGAAACAATCGACGCCAGGGCATGAAGCGATAGGGAAGAACAGGTCTAGGTCCAGTGGCCTCCTGAAGGAGGGGGGCCAAGGTGGGTACATGGGTATAATGCTGACAGAAAGAGACTGGGTCTCTGGGAAA